GTAAACCGATGTATTTGACCGCAACATTGCGTAAAGTGATGTATCCGAGAATAGGAGAGAGGAGGAATTTTTGTAATTTTTTTCAAATGATAGGAAATTTTAAAAAATATGGTAAAATAAGTTATGTATTTATGTAATTTTTCCATAAAATAAATCTTATTGAAAGCGTCGTCTCCAGAATTGAGCCTCGTTGCAAATTTAGTTGGCCACCAATGCAAATACTGGACATGATTGGGTGGGAAAATAAAAATAAAATAAAGTAAATCTAAAGGCACTTTAATTTAAAATATATCTTAAATATGGCGGAGAGAGTAAAATTTTAAGTGAAAAACTTACATAAATACTACTTATAATGTTTGTATTAAATGAATATACAAATGCATAGCAAAAGAAAACGTAGGGGCAAGACAAGTGAACGAGTAGGGGAGGCAGAGTGACCACCCTCTTAAGAATTAGAGTAGTACTAACATATAGGTAATTAAATTTTTGGAGAAAAAATTAGACATGATGATTGCCCTTAGTTAATACTAAATGGCTGATCTCTTCTATATAAATTTTATAATTTAACCATGGTTAAACTGTATATACATATATATTATCACAAAATATTATGAGCAATGATCTATATATAGGTGTAAGGTGTGCAAGTAAAATGATTCTCAATAACTATGATCAATACTAGCTAGCATTTTTTAAAAATAATCCATTTGTTGTTAAAAAGAATTAACAACAAGATTTTATTGTTTAACTATAAAATTTATCCGTTACTAATATTTTTTTAATTATAATATCATTAATAGGAGGAACACGGATATCTTTTAAAAAGAAATGTAATAGCATTTTGTTGAAGTGGGGATAAAAGTTGAATGACAACACAAAATTATCAATTTTTTTGCAAATTAATTATTTTTAGAACCAGAAAAGTAAATTCTGCCTAACAAAACCTTAAATACCTTCATTAATCAAGTTGTCAAAATATTCGGCCGCACATAATCCATTAAATAAATGGAATTAAAAAAAAAAGTAGTAAAAAGTTTCACACTCTCTAGCTATATATATATATATATTGTATGAAGCCCATGTCTTAAAATTCATAAGTTTAACTTTAATTCTCTCTAAAAAAAAAAAATAGATCGAACGCCTTTGAGTTATTGTTATTTCAAGAAATGGACAATATTGTTATATCCAGTGAAGAGGAAATTTCTATGATGAAAGCTATGCATCTTCCTTGTGGTTTATTCCTTAACATGGTATTAAGAGCTGCCATGGAACTTGACTTATTTGAGATTATAGCAAAATCAACTACTCAAAAACTATCTTCTTATGAAATTGCATCTCAAATTCCCACAAAAAACCCTAATGCCTCACTTGTTCTTGAAAGGATTCTAAGGTTTCTTGCTAGTCAATCTTTTCTCACATGCAACATTACAAAAAATGATGATGGAAATATTCACACATCATATAGTTTGACTCCATTAAGCCAAAGTTTAATCTCAGATAAAGATGGATCATCAATTGTTCCCTTATTACTACTGAATACTGGTCCAGTAGGTGTTAATGCTTGGTAAGATTTCATGTTTTCTTTATAGTACTCGTGATTTCATTATCAGGTCATTTGAAAGATAATTGCACGTGACCATTTATGAATAGTGAAAGTAATTATAATAGTAGCCTGAAAAAACAATAATGTAGTATTTTCGCCGGTTGTCCCCTTTTTTGTGACAATGGTTTAGTAAATATTATAACTTTATTTTTTGTTTGTTAAGGTTTCATTTGAAAGATGCAATATTAGAAGGTGAAATACCATTCAACAAGGCTCATGGAATGCATGCATTTGAATACAATGGAAAAGATAGTAGAATGAATGGGGTTTTCAACAAAGCTATGCAAAATGTCACTTGCATTGAAATGAAGAGAATTGTTGAGTGTTACAATGGGTTCAAAGGAGTAAAAGAGATAGTAGATGTGGGAGGTGGACTTGGAATATCATTAGCTTCTATAATTTCCAAATATCCTAATATCAAGGGTATTAATTTTGACCTATCTCATGTCATCAAAGATGCCCCTATTTATGAAGGTAACTACCAATACCCTATAATTAATTAAATTGAATAAGGGTCATTTTCTTGTGTTAGTCCATAATACAATTTATTTTTTAAAAATTGTTATGTACATTTAATTGATATTGAAAGATGAAATTAAGCTTCAACCACTCTTGCTTACCATATTAGGCATAGAGCATGTTGGAGGAGACATGTGGAAGAGTATTCCTCAAGGAGAGCTCATCATTTTGAAGGTCAGTATTTTTGTTATATAGATATTATATACTAGTATAATATTATTTCTTAATAGTTATTTTCTATCGTTTGGATATAAAAGAATGATATATTTTTATAATTGAAAGTCAGTAATTTAACTTTAAAAATATATTGGAAATTCTATTAAAAATGTCCACATTAATTAGGAGTCGTTTTGCAAGTACATATGATCTAGCAATCTCTGACTTGATAATAATAACAAATGTAGGCAGTACTTCATAATTGGGATGATGAAGATTGTGTGAAAATACTGAAGAATTGTTGGAGAGCTTTGCCAAAAGATGGTAAAGTTGTTGTAATTGAAAGAATACAGCCAGAATATCCAGAGACTAATCTTCTCTCTAAGCATTCATTTAGTTTTGATATATCAATGATTATATTTCATGGAGGCAAAGAAAGAATAAAACAACAATTTGAAGATTTGGCTAAACAAGCTGGATTTACATCTCTCAAAGTTGTGGCTCGAGCATATTATTCTTGGGTCATGGAATTCTACAAGTATTAGTTTCCTATTTTTAAATAATTTCTGCTTTAATAATACTCCTTGTGTTCCATGTGGTATCATTCTGATTTCGAGAGTCAATTTTTTAAAATTTGATCATAAACTCGGACATTGAATCTTTAAATATACTGGAATTATCATTTGGATTGTTACATATTGTTTCAGACTATATTGCATTATATTCATGTATCGTATGATTCAAAATGTCATACATCAACAATTTAAAAGATAATTTAAAAAATAAAAATAAAATAAAAATATATATATATATATGAAGTAAAACTACAGAAAAAAGGTATGGAGAAGCAACTGAAAGAACAAAGCCCCTCTTGGTTTACTTTCCTAAATGTTTTGTTTGAATTGAGTAGGATCAAATTTTTAGTCTTTCGTTTATCGTTTATTTACTTTTTAAACGTATCAATAAAATGGGTCTGGCCTAATTTTTTTTAAAAATAAATATAAAAAGGTAGAATAAAGAATAAAATATAATTATTTAATAAAAAGTAAGATACAAAATAGTGGAAAAAAAGAAAAAGAAAGGAAGAGAAATAACAACGATATCTTTAATAAGTAATATCACATACTAAATTTAACAATAAAATACAACAAATTTAATTAACGATTAAAATAAATATTGTATTTAAATTAATAACACAATACCATAGGTAACAACCATCCAATAAGTGAAGGAGGTCACTTTCATATTTTTAATGTTTGGTAACAAAATATCATAAAATTAATTAATGACTTCGAACTTTTTTTTTCGGGAAAATTACGCAAAATGTCCGTAAGGTTATATTTTTTACACAAAATATAGTTAATTAAAAAAATAAATTATTTATTACTATAGTCTATATATGGCCATTCGACACTTTTCCTAGCCCGTGTCTTCGGCTTGCTAGTGTTGTTGTTCTTCTTCTTCCTTACGTACAAACGTGAATAGTTTTGAGCGAATTGTTTATGAAAAGATTTAAAATATCGAGAAAATTTCATATCAATAATCTGAACTGTTTAGAGGTGATTTCAAGTTGATCGAGATTAAATAGTCAATATATACTTTATGTATAGTTCAACTATATTAAGTTTTTTTTAAGTATATCATAATGTGTAGTCAATTATAACACATGTATAGATACTTTATATTGCATAATTAGTGTATATATTTTCTATGACTTTTGACAAGATATAATACATAGTCAGCCTATACTTCCTATAACTTTTAAACATATTGGGATAAGACTGACTCTGATACCATATAAAGATATATATGTCACAATTCATCACCATACTTCAATCTCAGGACTGTCATAGTGCAAGCCCATGATATTTTCACCAAATCATATTCTCTAAAAGGTATCTTTAATTTAAAACAAAAATATGTCTTCACTGAAACTTGCTTCAATAACAACTTTAATTGTCACTAATGCTTTCATTTTGCATTGAAAAATTGTTAGTTTGGAGGGTACAGATGACAAGTCAATAGATGGCGAGGGGAATAAATGGTAGTATAATGGAGAATGAAACTAATTATTAAACGAAACTTGAAAGATATTTTTGATTTTTCTCCCTTTATATTATTTTATGACTTAGATATAGGAGTTGTCAACTTTTAAACTTGTAATTAAATGATGTCTCTTTCACCGATAAACCCATACTTAGAATTAAATGATAAATTAAATTTTCAAAATGACTTTTTGAGGCTTTAAGCTAGATTGTATCAAAATTGAAAAATGGTAGTGAGCTGGTAAATAAAAATGTAAGCTGTCACCACAATTTATGAGCAATGCTCTTTTTTAGGAATCTAAAGTATTAGCTAGGTGTGCAACCAAATTGATTCTCATCTCAATAGTGTATTAATTTGACCAATAAATATAAGGTATTACTTATTTCTTTTTAAAGTTTTAATTATTATTTAATAGTAATGTTAGTTATAAATAAAATTCACAATTTACGTAAAGCAATTGCGCCTAACAGACACATAAGTACCTTCATTAATTCATATGCTAACTTAGAATTTTATGTATCTTTGTTTCAATATTCTAAAATTTACAACCGCAAAAATACTCCCTTCGTTCATTTTTAGCTTTTTATTATATTAAAACGGACTTAAGCAAGCTTCAAGGCAATGGAATGTGAAATTAACTCAGGCCCTATTAGCTGCTGGTTTTCAGCAAAGTCATATGGATTACTCCTTGTTGATCAAAAGGTCAGCTGAAGGCATTGTGATTGTCTTGATTTATGTTGATGATTTGTTAGTCACTGGTAGTAGCATGAAGCTGATTAATGACACTAAACAAGTTGTGAAGGACAACTTCAAAATCAAAGACCTTGGACCTTTGAGATACTTTCTAGGAATAGAATTTGCCCGGAACTCTAAAGGGATTCTCATGCACCAGAGGAAGTATGCATTGGAGATAATTTCAGACTTGGGTTTAGGAGGGTCGAAACCTATTGCCACACCTGTTGAAATGAATGTCAAATTAACTACTATGATTTTTGATAAACATGTAGGTTCTTCATCTGATTCACTACTATCAGATATTGGTGAATATCAGAGACTTGTTGGGAGGTTGATTTACTTAACCATTACTAGACCGGATTTGTCTTATGCTGTTCAAAACTTAAGTCAGTTTATGAATGCACCAAAGAGGTCTCATATGGATGCTGCTGTTAGAGTTGTAAGATACATCAAACAGGACCCAGGTTCAGGCATTTTTTTGGCTGCACAATCTTCTGGTTCTTTACAAGCATATTGTGATGCTGATTGGGGATCCGGTCTTGATACTAGGAGGTCCATCACTGGGTATATGAGCTAGCTTTTGGGGTGTGAGTTAGACCTAAGACCTAATTTAACAAAAACATATTTTAATTTTTATCAGATCAAGATGAAAATATAATATACATTTTTCTTATTCTTATCTTTAATATTAATAATTATTTATTTCTTAAATTATTTTCTAAGACTATACATCAACTAATATGAATATTATGATAAAATTTTCATTATATTAATCATTATTACTTAAATAAAGTGAGTGTATTCGGCCTAACAAACCCTTGAACACCTTCATTAATTGAGTTATCAAAATATTCGGCCGTAGATAATTCATTAAATAAATGGAATTAATAAAAGTACTTTCACACTCTATATATATTGTATGAAGAACATGTCTTAAAATTCATAAGCTACGACTTTCATTCCTCTAAAAAAAAAAAACAGATCAAACGCCTTCGAGTTATTGTTATTTCAAGAAATGGACATGGCTTTATCAATGGATAATATTGTTATATCCAATGAAGAAGAAATTTCTATGATGAAAGCTATGCATCTTCCTTGTGGTGTATATCTTAACATGGTTTTAAAAGCTGCCATTGAACTTGACCTATTTGAAATTATAGCAAAATCAACTACTCAAAAACTATCTTCTTATGAAATTGCATCTCAAATTCCCACAAAAAACCCTAATGCCTCACTTGTTCTTGAAAGGATTCTAAGGTTTCTTGCTAGTCAATCTTTTCTCACATGCAACATTACAAAAAATGATGATGGAAATGTTCACACATCATATAATTTAACTCCATTGAGCCAAAGTTTAATCTCAGATAAAGATGGATCATCAATTGCTCCCTTTTTACTACTGAATGCTGAATCAGTTGTTGTTAATTCTTGGTAAGGTCACTTGTTTCATTAGTTAAGTAACTTTGACACTATCAAGTCACCTGAAAGATAACTGCACGTGATCGTGATCATGATCATTATGAATAATAAGAGTAGTAAGTAATTAACTTGAAAAAACAAGGCAAGTTTATACTGACGGTGTAAAAATACATTATTCTCATGTCAACGGAGTATAAATCATGTAACTTAATTAATCCCTTGTTTTTAATTTGTGATCTTATATTAGTAAATATTAATCAATTGTATATACATTGTGACCTTTTTTTCTTTTTTTTTCAAGTTTTCATTTGAAAGATGCAATATTAGAGGGTGAAATACCATTCAACAAAGCTCATGGAATGCATGCATTTGAATACAATGGAAAAGATAGTAGAATGAATGAGGTATTCAACAAAGCTATGCAAAACAATCACTTGCATTGAAATGAAGAGAATTGTTGAGTGTTACAAAGGGTTCCAAGGAGTAAAAGAGATAATAGATGTGGGAGGTGGACTTGGAATATCATTAGCTTCTATAATTTCCAAGTATCCTAATATCAAGGGTACTAATTTTTGACCTACCTTTTGTCAATCAAAGATGCCCCTACTTATGAAGGTAACTATCAAAACTATATATATTATAATTTATTTCAGAGTATTGATGAAACATGTTAGAATATTTGTATATTTCCTATTCCTTTGAAAAAAATGATAAACTTCAAACAATTTCTTTTATTAATTTAACTATCTCTATGTCTACTTGAATCGAATATTTTGAATACCAACTAGGATTTACAACACTAATAAATCACATAATTTATCATTAGTGCTAATTTTTTTGTGAAATAAAAGAGAAAGATGAAATTAATTAGCTTCAAATACTCTTGCTTTCTATATCAGGCATAGAGCATGTTGGAGGAGACATGTTGAAGAGTGTTCCTCAAGGGGAGTTAATCATTCTGAAGGTCAGTATTCTTTGTCATATATGATATATATTTTTATAATTGAAATTTAGTACGTCTAGCAATCTCTGACTTGATAATAATAACAAATGTAGGCAATACTTCATAATTGGGATGATGACGATTGCGTGAAAATATTGAAGAATTGTTGGAGAGCTTTACCAAATGATGGTAAAGTAGTTGTAATTGAACAAATACAGCCAGAATATCCAGAGACTAATCTTCTCTCTAAGCATTCATTTACTTTGGACATATCAATGATGATTATGTTTGATGGAGGCAAAGAAAGAACAAAACAACAATTTGAAGATTTGGCTAAACAAGCTGGATTTGCATCTCTTAAAGTTGTGGCTCGAGCATATTATTATTGGATCATGGAATTCTACAAGTATTAATTACCTATACTTTAATTAATTCTGCTACAATAACACTCTCTTTGTTCTAATTTATGTGACACTGTTCGAATTTTGAGAGTTAAACTTTTTAATTTGATCATGAATTCGGACATATATAGATATTTGGACACTATATATGTAAGAATCACGGTCAAAACAGAAAATCATTGAACTCTTGTAATTCGAAAGATAGACATATAACTTGGGACAAAAGGAGCTAGTAAGTCTTTATTTATAGAATAAAAAAAGTTGATTGATTTATGTATTTACTGGCTATTTCCAATTATGTTTGTTTGTTCGCTGCTTATGTAACATGATTTTCCTTGAATTAAAAGAAGGTCCTAAAATTATCTTGGATTTTTTTAAAAATATTTCTGTAATTATTTTTTAGTGTTTGATTGATGAAAGCGTTGATTTTCCTTTGGTTCAAATTAAATATATAACAAATATATATATATATATATATAAAATTTATTTATTATTTATATGGATCTAGATTGACGCACATGCTTGATCCAAATTTAATTCCTTCAATATGCCTCACATTAAATCGATCGATATATAAAATGAAACTTTTTGTCATTATATAATAATAAATTTAATGATTCATACAATAAAATTTAAATAATTATCTAAACAAATATTATATTTAAACTAACGACATAATAACACGATAACAACCATCCAACAAGTCACTTTCCTCATTTTAATTATGGTAACCAAATACCATAAAATTAATTGATGACTTCCTCTTGAGTCTTGAGCAACCCGTTTTTCTTACTTTTCAAATGTTTTTTTAATCTTTTTCCACAAGTTGCTTATCAAGAAATAAAAGAAAAGCAGAAAACAAATAATTAAAAAAAATACGTTTCTGCTATTCTATTTTTGCCAAACCCTCTAGCCTACACTAATTTTGTCAAACCCTTTAGGAATCGTTTGGTAAGGGGTAATAATTCCATAAGATAATTTTGTCTCTATTCTATATATTAAACGAATTCTCGTAATATAATTTATTACGATAAAAAGAGGTAATGACAATATAACCCTCACTTTCATTTATTATGATTGGTTTATTTTTCTTCAGTGGTTTTTAAAATAAGTGTGAAGTTATGTTTTCAGACTATCGTGATTATGTGATCATCAATGTGTGTAATAGTATTGTGACTTATAAGTGATAAAACAAATTTTGGTAACTTTGACGCAATTTTTAAAAATATTATATGATCATTTGTGAAATATCAAGGAATAAAGTAAGATAAGAAAACGTATAGATTGATATATTTAAAAATAAAAATAAAAATAAAAAGAGACTGTTGAAATGGGAATAAAGAAAAAGCAAGGGCAATCCTCACAACAACTTATATCAAAAACACTTCTTTTGGCCGATCAATACTCTCTCCGTTAATTTTTATTTGTCTATTTAACATTACATATTTATTTTTTTTAAAATAATTAATATGAATATTTCATCTCAATATCTTGAAAATAATTTAAGAAAAATCAACATGTCGAAAAGTTAAATTATTTTATTTTCATTATAGTCCGGTTCTTTGACGTTTTTCTCGATTAGAGCTAGAAGCCTGTGTACGTGTTCGATGGGTATAATATTCTGCCTAACAAACACTTAAATACCTTCATTAATTCATATCCTAACTTTAATTTTCTCTTATGCCTAACAGACACTTCATTTACTTTTTATTTATCTTTGTGAAGAGGAGAAAATATAAAAAGAAAGACACTGAAACTTGCTTCAATAACAACTTTAATTGTCACTAATGCTTTCATTTTGCATTGGAAAATTGTTTGTTTGGAGGGTACAGATGACAAGTCAATAATAGATGGCGAGGGGAATAAATGGTAGTATAATGAAGGACGAAACTTGAAGGATATTTTTGACTTTTCTCCCTTTGTATTATTTATGACTTAGATGTAGGAGTTGTCAACTTTTAAACTTGAAATTAAATTATGTCTCTTTCACCGATAAACCCATACTTAGAATTAAATGACAAATTAAATTTTCAAAATGGCTTTTGAGGCTTTAAGCTAGGTCACCCTGCATTGTCTCTATTTTTCTCAAGTGTAAGTTGTATCAAAGTTGAAAAATGGTAGTGAGCTGGTAAATAAAAATATAAGGTGTCACCATGAATTATATATGAATTAATTTTTCTATATATGACTTTTTTTTAAAATTAAATTTATGTTAATTCTACTATAAATTATAATTGGATATAACTACAATTAACCTTCACAAAAATTAAAAATGCAAACATATAAATTTTTAAACAAATAATACAACGTACTTAAAAATAACCGAAAATAACAAATATTCAACAAAGTAGTAATTGACATTCACCATGAATTATATATGGTGAATGTTTTAGAAAGAATTTGTTTTATGAAATACGAAAATATAAATGAAATAAAAAATAATAATATAATAATGAAGAGAGAGAAAAATATTCATTTTTGGTGTAAAATTTAGTGCAGTGGGTTGGAGTTGATTACACCAAAAACAGTGATGAGTTTGGGTTGGAGATGCCCTCTAAAGTACTAGCTAGGTGTGCAACCAAATTGATTCTCATCTCAGTAGTGTATTAATTTGATCAATAAATATAAGATATTACTTGATTTAAAAAAAAAACATTATTATTATTTCAAATTAATACTAGTTATTTAAGATGTGGTTTGCACATCATATTAAATAAAATTCACAATATACGTAACGCAATTGCGCCTAACAGACACATAAATACCTTCATTAATTCATATGCTAACTTAGAATTTTATGTATCTTTATTTCAA